AATATAACTAATGAACTTTTCTCTCTGCCATGATGACAGCACATAATATTAGACTAGATATTCTTCAAGACACTAGTGTTCAGCTTAAAGTGACATGTAAAGGCTTCACTAGGGTAATTAGGGTAAAGTTAGGGTAATTAGGCAAGTCATTGTATAACAGTGGTTTGTTCTGGAGACAATCCAACACTAATATTGCTGAAGGGGTGATTAATATTGAGCTTAAAATGGTTTCAAACAATTAAAAACTGCTTTTATTCTAGAAGAAATTAAACAAACAAGACTTTCTCCAGAAGAACAAATATTAGAGGAAACACTCTGAAACATTCCTGAATCTGTTCAACATCATTTGGGAAATATTGGAAAAAGAAAACTCGCACAGGAGGATGAAGGATGTCTTCAATCATATATATAACTCATTACAACAACACAGCGCCTAACATTCGTAGCATACATTAATGTTGTCCACACATCACACACAGTGCTTCTAAAGCATTAAAATGAATGCATAATAATCCATGGGGCTTTTTAAATAAAAAAATAACATTGCAAGGATTTAACAGGAGGATTTACAGAACTTTACAAGACTTTGCTTGGACTGAATGTTGACGTGTTTGATTTAAAACACTGCCCTCTTCTGGACAACACTCATAATGACAAAAAGAAACGCTGCAGTTATTTAGAAATGCTATTGGCTTTTAAAAACCTTTCCTCAAGTACAGTAACTGAATATTCTGTTATATTAAAGAAATTAAAATCTGAAATCTAAATAATTAAATACTTTGTATTTTAAAGTCATCGTACTTGCACATAAACATTATTATAATCTGTAATCAGTAATTAATATAAATGAGAAATCCATGTCGAATGGAAATAAAAAGAAATCCCCTTGTAGCTCCTCCCCTTCATCATCAGCCCCTCCCTTTATCATCAGCTCCTACCCTTCTTCATCAATCAGCTCCTCCCCTTCATCATTAACTCCTCCTCTACACCAACAGCTCCTCCCTTTAACCACCAGCTCCTCCCCTTAATCAGCCCCTCCCCTACATCATCAGCTCCTTCCCTTAATACTCAGCTACTCCTCTTCATCATCAGCTCCACCTCTTCATCAACTGCTCCTCCCCTTCACCACCAGCTCCTCCCCTTAATCAGCAGCTCCTCCTCTTCATCATCAGCTCCTCCTCTTTATCATCAGCTCCTCCCCTTCATCATCAGCTCCTTTCCATCAGTAGCTCCTCCTCTTCATCATTAGCTCCTCCTCTTCATCAACAGCTTCTCTCCTTAATCAACAGCTCCTCCCCTTAATCATTAGCTCCTCCTCTTCATCATCAGCTCCTCCCCTTAATCATCAGCTCCTCCTCTTCATCATCAGCTCCTCCCCTTAATCATCAGCACCTCCTCTTCATAATCAGCACCTCCCCTTAGTGATCAGCTCCTCCTCTTCATCAACAGCTTCTACTCTTTATCATCAGCTCCTCCCCTTCATCATCAGCTCCTCCCCTTAATCATTAGCTCCTCCCCTTCACCATCAGCTCCTCCCCTTAATCATCAGCTCCTCCTCTTCATCATCAGCTCCTCCCCTTAATCATCAGCTCCTCCTCTTCATCATCAGCTCCTCCCCTTACAAGATTCAGCCTTACAGTGGCGCCAAAATGCTATTTTCACCATCACACACACACACACACGCACACACACACACACACACACACACACACACACACACACACACATTGTGTGATTTTGTGGGGGTGTTTGGGTGAGCGAGAGAGAGCATGTGTGTTTTCAGACCAGACATAAACACATCATGACCACTTATAGGCGTTGAACGTGTATAAACCGAGTATTTACGCTGTTATTCATATGATTAGTCATTCCATACTGTGCCGTTTGTTACTGACTCGACAGACTAACATAAACTTGGTCTGGAGGTTTAGCACAAATATGCCACTGTGAGCTGCTCGTCACATAAACAATCATGAAGTCCTGCTGCTGCAGGAATGAGGAGGTCTGCTGAAGGCGCAGCTATGGTGCAGAGAGGGGTTTACGTCTTTAATAAACTACGACAATTTGTGTTCATTGAACAGTAAGAATGATTAATAAATCCATATGAAGCAGTCCCTAGAGTCTCGCTTTCAGTTTCGGGCTCAGGCGCGCTTTGCACTCACACACAAGCGTACCGCACCAAAGCCCAAGAGAACCACGCTCTGGCACATCTCTTCCAACCGGGCCAGGGCCGGCCAAGTGAACCGTGCCTGAGCCCGATTCAGCACACTCACACTTCTTAAACTATCCGGGAGACAGGCATGGGCACGGTTCATAGTGTGGGTACACCCTTATACTGGTGGTTTCACGAAAACAAATGCAAAAAAAAAAAAAATAAGCAAAAAAATGTAGCTCCTGGAACGAATTCGGTGCTCTCCAGAAATGTATATAGAGGTATGTTTTCAGAATGAGACTGGGTTGAAATGAAAACAAATAAATAAATAAATAAATAAGATATACAGAAGGGGTATATACATCATCGCACATTAACGAATATAAAAGTGTAATAGTATCTGGATGCAGCCTTTATGATGCGAGCTGACATCGCATCACTCAGCGATGCAATGCCAGACACAATGCACTCAAATGGAGCGAGTGACATCACTGTGAGGAGGAGGGTTAGGGGTGGGGTTAGGCGAGCCCTTTAAAAAGCACTGGATGCAGCCCAGATTGCATCTGGACCAGGTCTGCAGCCAGACCCCTCTCTAATTTTCTGTAACAGAGTAAGAAATAGTTTCAATGTTATTTTTATTGGAACTCTTTTGCTCCTGATGTTCACTGGAAACAATATGGCTGATTTTAAAATAGCTGCTTAATTACAAATGTAACGGAGGACAGCTAGTAAATGCTGTGCAGGTGAACCTCACTCCTCTGACCTCTAAAGGTGCTCTAGCGACAGTAGCTAGAGGCTATGGTCTTTAGCCTCCTTGTTAGAGCAGCCGACAGCCATGCGGTTGGTCGCCGGTTCGATACCAGGTCGGAGCAGGTTGGGTGATATAGAACCGGCGGGGGTTACACATATATGATAAAAACATTGAGAATTATCCATCGTACACATCCAGTCTGTACTCTTAATAAAATACAAAACAGATTTCAACACAAACTGCTCCTTTTGTAAGCAACACTGTGTTTGTTGGTCCATTATTTGTTGATTTTAATTGTGATTTATTTACTTTTTATGCTTGAATTATTAAATTTGACCTTCATCTTATTTCTAACTGGCACTCCTGCTCCTCCACACCCCATGGCTCATTTATTCTGCAATGCAGTTGTTCTATTTTGCTTTGGAAAGGTTTTTCCCCTTTTGTCATTGAGAATGTTGATAAAGACTTTCATTTACTGTGGGAAAATGTTTTGTTTGGTTTTGTTAATTGCAAAACAGAGCCTTTACTTAAAGTTCTTAATATTCTTATATTAGTCACAAAATTGTACATGCATAAATGTAAATTTACAAACCAAAACCAAATATACAACTTAAACACGACATCCAAAAAATACAAAAGTAACTAACAGCATAAAATAAACTAAAATATAAATTACATAAAATAAATAAAAACACAGCTTCAACATAGAAACCTTTGCAAAATTATTATAACGTAACCCACCCACTTGACTGCAAGTTTACTATTCAGTTAACTTCAGCTCCTTTTCCTTTGCTACTATAAATGTATCTTGACATTTTTAATATATTGGAGCGAGTATACAAATGAAAATCTCTAATAGAATCCTTTAAACAAGGTTTAAAGTTATTCAATCTGCATTAATGAATTTACCAAATAAAATCTAAATATTTATTATAAATTCCACAGATAAATTGTTTGAAGCAAAATAAAAAGTAACATATTTGGGGGTCAAATTACATCTAAAACCTGAGTTTTTGGACATATAATGATAAGTCTTTCCAAAACTTTGAATGCTGACATTCATAAAAATTATACAGAATGAACAATTTCCATCAGTCTGCATTGTGTAAATTTGTTAATGTAGTTCCCTATGTGTATTACATATGCAGACGAAAAGCATTCAACTAACCTTTTTTTCTCACACAATATCTTCAAAACAAACAAACATTCATTCATTCATTTTCTTGTCGGCTTAGTCCCTTTATTAATCCGGGGTAGCCACAGTGGAATGAACCACCAACTTATCCACTTATCAAGTTTTTACGCAGCGGATGCCCTTCCAGCCGAAACATCCACTCACACACACATTCATACACTACGGACAATTTAGCCTACCCAATTCACCTGTACTGCATGTGTTTGGACTGTGGGGGAAACCGGAGCACCCGGAGGAAACCCACACGAACGCAGGGAGAACATGCAAACTCCACACAGAAACGCCAACTGAGCCAAGGCTCGAACCAGTGAACATTTTGCTGTGAGGTGACAGCTCTACCTACTGCGCCACTGCATCACCCCCAAAACAAACACTCCAAAAATAAATAAATAACTAAATAAATAAATAAATTAAATTAAGGCTCTGTTTAAAAAAAATATTTATCTAATAACTTTGTTTGAACATTTTTTTACTACAAAAGTTTACTCCGTTTAAGTATAGTACAGGATCAGTTCTATTAGTTCTATATGAGGACATTTGACTTCAAATTAGCATTAGCAAACCAGAGGGAATGGCTTTTGTTACGGGGTTATATAATTTAAATTTAATAGGGGATGACAATCATTCCATAACATTTTTGCAAGATAGTAAATTAGCTGATTGGTCTAAAATATCAGAAAAGAAAAAATACCTTAATCTGTCCAGTTTTGCAGATAGAGAGATTTCTGGTTAACAGTATTATGAGAATTATTCCACAAAACTGCTTTATGGGGGAGAAATTGAGCTCATAACACAAACCAAAAACCTTTTTAATATATATTTTGCTTACAATGATGATGCTCAGCTGCTGTGAATCTGCCGTGATGACGCAGTGTCTGCGTGCGCGGCGCTCTTGCGTCACTCCGGCGTGTGCGCGCGCACGTCTCTCCTCTCCACTGTCGGCTGAGCTGCTGTCCTCTCCATCCACACAGAGGTGAGTCCACATCTACACTTTATCCAGCATTACACTGAATCTGCAGCAGAGTGAAGGCTTATTCTGCTCATACAGTGAACCTGAAGAGCAGTTTATCACTCATACAGATGTATATACACATGCAGATCTATATTTGTGTGTATATATCTGGGTGAGCATCACTGAGGAGAGCACGGCCTGCTGAAATGCACGCGCCCGTCCATCGGTTATCTGTCAGAGGACTTTTATTGAGTTCATCCGCTGCATTTACACTCTGAGTGCAGGAGCTGATCATTGAGATCGCGTTGAGGGAGAAATGTTCTGTATATTGAGTGATTTTGTGCTCGTCCTCTGATACAGCAGTGGCCTAAAGCTGCGCCATTGAGCCGCGGGCATGCGCACTGGCTGCCCCTGGTCATCTCTGCACGTTTGCGCGCGCGTGTGTGTAGAGATATTCGCGTGAATGAATAATGTGTGTGTCAGGGATAGTCATTGTTGGCGGGACAAGTGAACGATCCTTCACATAGGACGTGAGAGTTCAGGGAGTGCGCGGAAGCGGGCGGTTTGGCAACAGCTGATCTGTGACTGGAGAGTGCATGGTAGGAGGTAGCTTAGATTCCGGAAGCATTCCGGAAATGGAGGAAGAAATGTCGGACGCAGATGAAGTGGGAAATTCGAAAAATGAATGGATTACAGTAGAAAAACGGAAAAGAAACAGAAGCTGGAGTAATACATCTGAGACTGACAGTGAGAACGGAATGCATCAGACAAGACGAAGGAAAGAAGAGTTTAAGGTAGTGATGAAACTCGATTGTGGTTCATTTAGCTTTATCAATCCGCTGAAGATGTCTAAAACAATCAAGGAAGAGATAGGATTGGTAGAAAGTGTTAAAAAATTGAGAGACGGCAGGCTGTTAATATACTGTAAGGACAGCAGACAACAAAAAAAGGCTGTAGAAATTAAATCTATCATGGGGCAAAAGGTGACTTGTAATGTACAAGAAGAAAAGAAATGGGTTAAAGGAGTAATCACTGGCATCCCTACCGATGTTACAGTTGAAAAAATCAAACGAGGTCTTACAGGTGCAGCTGTAATGGATGTGAAAAGACTTAAATGCACCAGAAATGGTGAAAGGGGAGATAGTCTTTCAGTAATGATTCACTTTAATGAAGACAAACTGCCAAGTAAAGTATATCTGGGATTTGTGAGTTATTCTGTGAGGCTTTATGTACCTCCCCCTTTAAGGTGTTATAAATGCCAAAAATATGGACATGTGGCAGCAGTATGCAGAGGCAAGCAGAGATGTGCTAAATGCGGAGGGGAGCATGAGTATGGTAAATGTGGTCAAGGAGTTAGTCCCAAATGTTGTAACTGTGGAGGAGAGCACAGTGCGGGATATGGAGGATGCAAAGTGAGGAAACATGCGGCTCAAGTACAAAATGTTAGAATTCAAGAAGGAATGTCATACTCAGAGGCCTTAAAAAAAGTTGGAAAGAATGTAGAAATAGGTAACAAAAGCAAAGAAATCATTCAACAGAAGTCGGAAATGGATAAAGAAAATAAGAAAGAGAGATTAGAGATCAAGGGAAATGCTGCATTTATTACTTTTATGGCTGAAGTAGTGAACTGTTCAGCTCAGACAGAAAGTAGGACTGAGAGAATCAGAATAATAATTAAAGCAGCAGAAAAGTATCTAGAGATTGAGGGTATCTCAGTGGATTTGATAAATGAGAAATTAAAGATGCAGATTCCATCCTCTCAGCAAGTATGTGGTGGCCCTTAATAATGTTATTAATATTACAGTGGAACGCGAGAAGCTTAATAGCTAATGGGCAAGAATTTAAAAAAGTAATTTCCAATTTAGAAAACAAACCAGATATAATATGTGTACAGGAAACATGGCTTAAACCACAGTTAGATTTTGTACTACAAGGGTATGTGGTTACTCGGAAGGATAGAAAACAAGGTAATGGAGGTGGAGTTGCTACTTTTATTAAACAAGGTGTAGGATATAGGAATGTTGAGGTGGTGGTGGATCAGGAGGTGGTTTCAATAGAAGTTTGGGAAGGGTGTTGTAATATTAAGGTAATAAATTTTTACAATCCATGTGAAAAATTATGTAAAGAAAAATTAGAAGTCATAAGAGGTAACATTAGTCAGAAAGTAGTATGGTGTGGTGATTTTAATGCTCACAATACTTTATGGGGAAGTGATAAATCGGACAGTAACGGATTGATAGTGGAAGAAATGTTAGATTGGGGACAATTAGTATGTATGAATAATGGGTGTTACACAAGAGTTGATTTGTCTCAGGGACGTAAATCAGTTTTAGATATTACCCTTGTGACAGGAGAATTAGCTAGGAAATGTGAGTGGAAAATATATAAACACAGTACCTTGGGAAGTGATCACTATCCAATATGGTGTAAAATTGGGGTGGACATCATCAACACTCCGATAGAGAGAATTTTAAGATGGAAATTTAACGATGCTAACTGGGAGCTCTTTAGAGATGTATGTCATGATAAAATGTGGGAAATGGTCAATGACAATGATAACATAGAAGAGTTAAATGAAAAAATAAGTGAAATATTAAGAAAAACTGCAGAGGAAGTTATTGGTAAAAAGAAAAATGTAAACAATAAAAAAGCAGTTCCGTGGTGGAATAAAGAATGTAGTAATGCAGTTAGGGAGAGAAATAAAGCAATGAAGAAAGCCAGGAGATCAGTATTGTTCAAGGATTTTATTAATTATAAGAAAGCTCAGGCAATAGTTAGGAGAGAAATAAGAAAAGCAAAAAGACTTTACTGGAGAGAATTCTGTAATAGAATAGGGGAGGAAATTGAAATTAATGAAGTTTGGAATATGATCAGAAGGATGGGAGGAATTCAGAAAAATAATAACATTCCTGTTTTAATTAGTAATGGAAAAATAGCAGTTAATAATGATGATAAAGCAGAAATGTTGGTGGAATCATTTGCAAAAATTCATAGTAATGAAAATATTTCAGATAACATGAGAAAAATCAGGGAACAGAAAATTAGGGAAAAATCTCATATATATGAAAAGAAGGATACATCAGGAAGTTTATTAGACTCAGAGTTCACATTATATGAGTTAAAAAGAGCTATTTCAGGGGTTAAACATACTTCTCCGGGAAAAGATGACATATGTTATGAGATGATTAAACATCTGTCAGATGTATCTTTGAACACCATTTTGATTTTGTTTAACAAAATTTGGGTGAAAGGAAGTTTGCCAGTAGATTGGAAACATGGGGTTATAGTGCCAATAGCCAAACCTGGAAAAGATCATTCTCAGCCAACTAGTTATAGACCTATTGCACTGACATCAAATTTATGCAAAATTATGGAACGGATGGTTATGGATAGATTGGTTTTTGTATTAGAAAGTAGAAACATTTTTTCAGCATGTCAAAGCGGATTCAGAAAAGGAAGAAACACAATGGACTCAATCTTGTGTTTAGAAAATGAAATTCGAAAGGCACAAATAGGGAAAGAGGTACTTGTGGGAGTGTTTTTCGATGTGGAAAAAGCTTATGATATGTTGTGGAAAGAAGGTCTTCTCTTAAAATTGGAAAACATGGGAATAGATGGGAGAATGTACAATTGGATTCTGAGTTTTTTATTTGGTAGAACGATTCAAGTAAGAGTAGGGACTGCATTGTCTAAGATTCTTCCAATTGAGAACGGCACACCTCAAGGAAGTGTGAGTAGCCCAATTCTGTTTAACATAATGATAAATGACATCTTTCAAAATATAGAATCAGGAATAGGAAGATCACTGTACGCGGATGATGGAGCGATATGGAAAAGAGGACGAAATGTAACATTTGTAGAAAATAAAATGCAAATAGCAGTGAATAAAGTTGAGAGTTGGGCTAATAAATGGGGCTTTCGGTTTTCTGTTGAAAAAACGCAAGTAATATGCTTCTCGAAAAAAAAAAGCAATCCAGTATTAAACATCAAAATGTATGAAACGCGGTTAGGGCAAGTAAATGTAATCAGATTTTTAGGTTTATGGATGGATAATAAATTAACATTTAAAATTCATATTGAGAAATTAATTGAAAAATGTAAAAAAGGAATAAATGTATTAAGGTGTTTGGCTGGAGTTGAGTGGGGTGCCAGTAGTACAGCATTAAAAAGAATTTATAATGCTGTGATAAGGTCAAACATTGACTATGGGTGTATGGTGTATAGTTCTACTAATAAAACATTGATTAAAAAAATAGAGGTCATACAAAATCAAGCTCTGAGGATATGTTGTGGTGCTTTTAGATCCTCTCCAGTGGCATCATTACAAGTTGAAATGGGAGAGATGCCATTAGAACATCGAATGTCTCAGCTGAGAATGAGATATTGGATAGGAATAAAAGGTCATTTGGAAAACCATCCTGTTAGATGTCTTTTAAAAGATTGCTGGGAGTATGTGTACAAAGAAATAGCAAGTTTTGGTTGGGTAGTAAGAAAGGAAATAAACAGTTTAGAATGGAAAGATCTGGAAGTTGCTCCATCTGTCGTTATACCAACAATTCCCCCATGGGTGTTTCCTATGCCAGTAGTAGATCTGCAAATTCATGAAAGAATTCAAAACAAGGAGATAATTATTCCAACTAAATTATTAGTTCAAGAATATATCCAACAGAATTATTATTCTGTATTACAAATCTTTACAGATGGGTCGAAGGAACCTAAGTGTGGAAGAACTGCTGCTGCTGTATATATTCCACAATTTAACATCAAAATTGCAAAGAGATTATCAGATCACGTGTCAGTGTTTACCTCTGAATTATTAGCTATTATTATAGCACTTCAATGGATTGAAGAAGTCCAACCAGAAAAAGCAGTAATTTGTTCAGACTCAATGGCTGCACTTAAAAGCCTTCAAAGTGCCAAATCTGAAGCTAGACAAGATTTAGTATTTGAAATTTTACAAAATTTATTCACAATTAGGCAGTTAAGAATAATGGTTTCATTTCTCTGGGTACCGGCACATGTGGGGGTAGATGGGAATGAGGAAGCTGATATGCTAGCAAAAAAAGCTTTAAATAATGAGCAAATAGAAATTAAATTAGCATTAAGTAAAACAGAATTTAAAAGAATGATTGCAGTCGAAATATATAAGAAATGGCAACAGGTGTGGAACAAGGAGACCAAAGGAAGACATTTATATCAGATTCAGGAATTTGTAGGAAACGGGAGGAAAAGATACGGATATCGAAGGAAAGATGTCATCATAACAAGACTAAGGATAGGCCATACGTCATTAAATTACAGCTTGTATAAAATAGGAAAGCATGAATCAGGGAAGTGTGATAATTGTGGAGAGTTGGAAACAGTCAATCATATAATTTTAGAATGCCCAGCTTATGAAAGAGAGAGGTTTGATTTAATACAAGAATTAGGACAGCTGGAAGATAAGGTAATTTCTTTGAAAGTATTGCTAGGAAACGGGCTTAGACAATCAAAAATTCATGAGATATTAATTAAATATTTGGGAAATATAGGAATAATGCATAGAATTTAGTGTTGTTTTTTTTTTTTTTTTTTTTTTTAATATATAATTTAATATAGTAATTTAATGTATATATAAGTGTTTTCCATCTACTCCAATTATGTACAATCCACACTCCAGATCAGTAGGTGGCGGTAATGCACCTATTTTTGTTGGTTTGCCAAACCGCCATAAAACACCAGAAGAAGAAGAAGAAGATAGTCATTGTTATAGCAGTTATCATTTGGAGCTGGTTAGCTTTAGTGTACCCTGCTGAAAAAACAGCTTAAACCAGCCTAGGCTGGTTGGCTGGTTTTAGCTGGTTGACCAGTCTGGCTTTAGAGTGGTTTTGGCCACTTCCAGGCTGGTTTCTAGCCTGGTCTTAGCTGGTCAGGCTGGGATAAAGGTAAAATTGGTTTTATATTCGAATATTTAGACTTTCCCCTTAATAATATAACTTCAGAAAAGTATTATTTGCAAATTATAAATTGGAAACCATATTAGCAGCCTTTGATTATCAAAATACAGCATTGTTTACTGTCAGTTAGATAGTGATAATGTTGTTTAGAAGTCATACTTGCATGCTAATTCCGATCCAACATTGAAAGTAACATGGTAAACAGTATTGAGACTTCTACATGAACAAATATGCAAATATAAAACCAACTTTACCTCTATCAGGCTGGGAGATGACCAGCTAAAACCAGCTTGACCAGCCTAGTCAGGCTGGGAATCCAGCCAAAACCAGCTATGTCCAGCCTAAACCAGGCTGTTGTTGTTTTGAACCTAAATAGGGACGAAATGTCTGCTGTGTGTAGTTTTTCTGTAATTGGTAACACATCGGGGACTGTAGTGGTCTGTTTGTGTTCATATATGTTCATTTGTTTATTTTATATAATCGCAGACCTTACAGCAGGCTATTTCACACTGTCATTGATCTGCAGTTATAATCAAATCCTGTTAGTAATGAACATTTATACAGAATCATTGATGTGTGTAAAGCATCTGTTTTGTGAGAATCGCTTTTTATAATATTTGTGAACGACCCGTACAGCTTTACTGCAGGCATTTCCTCAAGCGAGAATGATGCGACTGAAACTTTGTCATACACCACGCCCACCAAAAGGGTACCCTTGGTAGTGGAAACGCAAGCCTGATAAAGATGACCGGTACTGACCTGAACCGTACTGTACTAGTCAGTGGAAACGAGGCATTAATAATATAAAGGCAGAAAAATAATCTTTGCAAATTCTAAATGGGGAAATCATTGTGGCATGTTTAAGTACAACATTGCTCACAGTCGGTGAAATAGTGCTAATGATTGATGTGCATTTGGTTTTATGTTCTCGCTTTCAGATTTTGGCGTTCAATAAAATGCAAAGCAGAATTTGCATAGGGGAATACAGATTAATTATAATAATGCACCATTATGAGCAATACAGTCTCGATATTGTTCACCGCTGCTTTTAATTTCCGGTCTGAAATCACATGCAAGACTTCTAAACAACATTAGATTATAAACAACTTATCCTTTCCTCCTGTTTTGCTCTGAAGTGTGTAATGTAAAGTTCCTTCTTTATTCTCTCTCAGACTATGGCTGTTCCTCCCACATATGTGGATCTGGGCAAATCTGCCAGAGACATCTTCACCAAAGGATATGGTAAGCACACTTTCTGCTGAGAGATCAATGGCTGCGTCTTGATCCACTCTCTTGTTCAATAGTCAGTGCACTGATCAGGGCATCAGCCACTTTGAGTGTCTTGTGGGTCTACAAATTAACTCAAATGAACAATAATATATAAATAGTGTTTTGGACATTGTAAGGTGCATTCTGAGAATATATCCTCAGCATCTATTCAACACCATGAGACAAGATTTTCAGCTAGAATTGTCATGCCAGTTTTTTGTTTCTACTAATAGGCAATGCTCCTAAATTAAATATTTAAGTGAGCGCCATGCTGCTCTAGTTCAGGTTTTTGATGATGAACACAACAATGGCGAGTTCTCAATAAAGGATTTAGCTTTGAACATACCTGAATGTCTCCCGGTCTATCTCTTCTTCAGTACACAGCAGTTGTGTTGCCGTGACCCAGATAAAGACTGAAATGACCCAGATAGAGACTGAAATCACTGATTTTTAACCATTTTGGTGCCGTGACCCGGACAGAGACTGAAATCATTAATTACCAACAGTTTTAGTGCCATGACCCGGACAGAGACTGAAATAACATATTCCCAACCATTTTGGTGCCGTGACCCGAATAGAGACTGAAATGATAAATTACCGACAGTTGTGGTGCCATGACCCAGATAAAGACTGAAATGACCCAGATAGACACTGAAATCACACATTTCCAGCAGTTTAGTGCCGTGACCCGATAGAGACTGAAATCATAAATTACCGACAGTTGTGGTGCCGTGACCCAGATAGAGACTGAAATCCCTCATTTCCAACAGTTTGGTGCCGTGACCCGATAGAGACTGAAATGACTTATTTCCATCAGTTTGGTGCCGTGACCCAGATAAAGACTGAATCCCCTTTGGGGGAATCCCCAAAGGCATTTTTGAAGTGTGCTCCACTTCATAAAGTGAATGAGGGAAGTGTACATGGACATTTTGAGTGTGCTTCATATGTCCATTCCAGCACCTATATGTCCCAGAATGCAATTGTGATGTCACATCAGTGTAGTGCTTAACGCCCCATTCACACGGGGCGTCAGCATCAACGCTTCCCATTCACTTTGAATGGGTGACGTCAGAAATTGCCTAACTGCATTGTGGATTCGTCAGCGCCGCTTCAGAGGTGTTGCTCGCTGCAGAAGTAGGGACTAGCTCAACTTTGCAAGCGCCGACGGAAGCGTCAGCCAATCAGATCGCTGTATGCAAATACACCAGCTCAGACAGTGGCATATTGCTGACTGAATTTCATTGGCTGACGCTGCTATGACGATCGCTTCAGCCCCAACTTCAGACACGCCTTCAGTCAAGCGTTGACGCTGAAGCCCCGTGTGGATAGGGCGTAAGGGTTTAGGGAACGAAACAGAGGGAAGTTGGTGAATGAAGGGCGTATAAAAATTGCACTGGAATGATTTGTGCTCTAAAAAGATGTGCTGTGAACATCAGGGAGCATCAATGAATACTATCCACCCTTAATAGACACTCTGAAGCTCAGAACAAGAATCTTGTGAAGCAAATCATTAAACATAATGACAAACCAGGGATCTATATTTAATAGAAACTATTCCCCGTTAATATTTAGTCATTAGTTAAACATAGACCGGTACAGACAATCTCACAAACATTTATAAATGATGTGAAATGATCAAATTATTTATCTATAATGTGCTTAAAGCATAATAAAATGACTATGGGGAAATATCAGTTATGTTGTTTATAAATTCCAGTTGTAACGTTCAATGTGTTAAAATGCAATGAGGACGTTCTCGTGCCACACTCCAAGTCTGATGTCCAGTGAGCATGCTTTTAGGGAGAAAACAAACCTAAATAAATACTTAATGTGCTAAATATGAACTGTAAATGCAAAGCCATGAAGGATGCGTGTTGTTGTGTGTGTCACTGATGTTGGTCTCTCTGTCATGTGCAGGATTCGGTCTCATTAAACTGGACTTGAAAACGAGGTCAGAGAATGGACTGGTGAGTAGCCGCTGGATTTCCTCCCCTCATCATGAACACAGTCAGCTACACTGCCTCTCTGCTCAGCTTAATAGGACAGTTCACACAAGAAATTAACATTTCATCATTTATTCACGCTCAAGTGGTTCTGAACCTAAAGGACTGTCCTGCTTTAATGATTGCAGCAGACTTTTTTTTATGAAATGAACTCTCTTAAGGACATTTTTAGCAAATTTTTTATCATGTATTAACACTAAAAATCCTATTTAATTTATGTATTCCTTTGTTTGTTTATTTTTTAAATTGTATTGAAATGTTCCTGCCATGAAAATAGCCTTAATAGCTGACATGGCATTAAATAAAAATTAATTACATCTAAAAGTTAATTTTTTCTGTTGAACACAAATGAAGATACTCTGAAGAATGCTGGAAAAAGCAGCCATCGACATCCAGAGTAGGAACAAAGCATACTATGTTTGTCGGAGTAGGTTTTTTCCAGCATTCTTCAGAGTATCTTCATTTGTGTTCAACAAAAACTCGAACAGGTTTGGATATAAATGAGTAAATCATGACAGAATGTACATTTTTAATTGAACTTTGGCTTTAACGTAAATTTCAGCATCAAGGCCAATTTGTGAACTGAGTATTGGATCTGTATATCCCTAATTTTCACTGACAGCCCAAATTTGTTTTATCCAGTAAGTCATGTCTATTAGATGTCTTTTAAACTCTTTCATGCTTGGTGTGAAGTGAAATCTGCTATATGTACATTGTTTGTCTGCTAACATATTGTGGTGTTTTATATTATGAAGCATGCTAAATAAACACACTTGTTCATCTGAAAATCAATCCTGGGGTCCGTTCTTCGTATGTGGATTACTCAGTTAGCTGGATTTGGATATTGACGATTTGACATGATCCAGGATCGTTTCGTTCTTCAAAGCTGATCCGAGAGTTGTTGTCATAGCAACAGTTCTGCTAGGTCAAACCTGATCGGGAGCAGGTTCAATTCATATAAACAGGATTAGATCGGCTCAGTTCAAGCAAAGATAATACAGAAAGTATGTTCCGAATTCTGATATTTTCTTACAGTAGTAGTGATATACACTTGGGAAAATTGTACATATATTTTTAACTATATATATATAAAGTTATAGTCATTAATAAAATAAAGTTATACATATTAATAAAACTTCAATCTGCACCCTCGAAATGAAAGTATAAAGACTGCCACCTGGTGGTGCAAAGAGAAAACTTATTGATATGAACTTTTTAGATCGCTTTAGTACAAATTGTGTATATTAGAAATGCAGAATATGTGACTTTTTTTTAAAACCAATAATACATTTATGCAGTCATAAACATGTTTTGACAGTAATATGCCAGTGATTTGATGCTTCACTAAAGTTGCAGACGCCTTTACCAATATGAAAACGGTTTTTCTTTACACCGATTAAAAAACGGCTACTATAATAAAATTGAAATACATGATGAATACTCTTGACACATGAAAGTGTAAAGCCTGCAGCTCACAACAAATGTGGAAGGTTATTGCGTGTCATGTATAACAAACGGTTTACTGCTAATTTGATGTAATTTTGCTTGCATGGATAATTGAATATTAATCAGATGATGTCATTACGCTGCTGTGCCGTCAGCCAATCGCTGCATTGCTGATCATGATTTCGAGGATTGATAGATCTGTCCTTCACAACACACACAGCGATCTCAGATCAGTTTATCCAGACATTCTAATCTGATTTGCGAACTTTTTTGAAGAACCAAATTAGCCGGAGATCAGTTATCAAGATTAAAGGATCCAGGATCTGCCAAATCATCTTAGATCATTTAAGCGAGGTACGAAGAACAGACCCCTGGTGGGAAAAAACCCTTTCCAATATTTTGAATTTGGACTGCAATGCCCAACTCAACCACTGGGGTCAATCCTATTTATTGCAGCAGAAAGTGTATATATATAGTATAGCGTGTGTGTGTGTGTGTGTGTGTGTGTGTGTGTTGCACTCATGTTTCTGATTGAGATCATCTGCTCCTTTATTTTACTGCAGGAGTTCAAGAGCTCCGGCTCGGCCAACACAGAGACCAGTAAAGTAGCAGGAACTCTGGAGACCAAGTACAAGTGGGCTGAACACGGCCTGACCTTCACTGAGAAGTGGAACACGGACAACACTCTGGGCACAGAGATCACCCTGGAGGACCAGGTCAGACCGAGAGCACCCAAACACACCAGGGCTGCACAATGATGGAAAAACATGACTCTTCGATATCTAGTTTTTCTGCAAATTATTTATTGTATTTAATTATTATTGTTTTTATTTTTATTTCTATTTATTTAAAAAAATATTTATTTAATTTCACTTTTTAAAAATTGTATTTTAATTTTCATTTATTCATTTTTATTTTATTTTCATTTTTATTTACTTTTGTTTTAATTTTGATTCATTTTAATTTTATTTTTTAATCATTTTGTTTTATTTACTATACATACAATTGTTCAAAGTAATAGCAATACAGACAAACGCATTGGGAACACTGGGAAAATAATGGTTAAATGTATTATTACTTTACAGAAAGTGACAAAATGTACTATATTAACTGCGAAATGATAGAAGATTTAGCTTCCTAGTAAATCACTGAACTGATATTTAGTTGTATAACCATGGGTTCAGAGAACTGCCCATTTCTGACACCTTCTAACAGGTCTACCAGCTCAGGATGATTGTACTAGACCAAGGATCACCAAACTTGTTCCTGGAGGGCCGGTGTCCTGCTGATTTTAGCTCCAACTCTAATCAAACACACCTGAACAAGCTGATCAAGCTCTTACTAGGTAGACTTTAAACACTCAGGCAGGTGTGTTGAGGCAAGTTGGAGCTAAACCCTGCAGGGACACCGGACCTCCATAAACGAGATTGTTGACCCCTGATCTAGACCATAATTCCTCTGCATTTCTTGATTTTGCTTCAGAAACCGCATTTTTGATGTCAGGTTACACGTTTTCTATTGGGTTAAGGTCTGGACACTGGACTGGCCATTCCATTATGTTAATCTTGTTAGTCTGGAACCAAGATGCTGCTCAATTACTGGTGTATTTGGGGTCGTTTGTCTTCCCAGAAATAAGTTTGCGTAGGGTCAGATGTCTACACATTGCGATGCTGATGCTGAACTGATGTATAGTGCAGCTCCAGTACACAGCAGACACTCCTGACACTCACCGTTATCTGCTTTATCTCTCAGCTGACCAAAGGGCTGAAGCTTACATTCGACTCCTCCTTTTCTCCAAACACTGGGTACGAATTTATGCATTTATTTATTTATAACTAATTAATTAATTTCACAGAACAATGAATGATTAATTCAGCAGTCTTCAACTGTATTTATTAAATTCACTTAATGTGTTAATATTGAGCATGCATGTCCTCTGACGCTCATGCTGGTGTCCCGCAGTAAGAAGAGTGGTAAGATCAAGAGCAGTTACCAGCGCGAGCACATTAACCTGGGCTGTGACGTGGACTACGACATCAACGGGACGGCGGTGCACGGAGCGCTGGTGCTGGGCCTGGACGGATGGCTCGCCGGGTACCAGATGACCTTCGAGGCCGGCAGGAACCGCATCACACAGAGCAACTTCGCTGTGGGATACAAGACCGACGAGTTCCAGCTCCACACCAATGTGTACGTATGAGGGACGGGCCATAACGGTGAAATATGCAATGTTGTATAGAGTGGGACAATGTTTCTTACCATATAAAAATAGCATTAATCAAAGGAGATGTTATAAGTAATGTTTTTAAATCAAATTCACTTATATAAGGATGTTAAAATGAATCGAATAAATAGTTATTTTTCAGATTGAATTATTTCTAATTTAAGATCTGAAAGAGGAAGACCAGATATTCTGACTCTGAGTGGTTGTTATTTTGCCCCTTCTCCTTGACTCCGCCCACAGAGGTTTATTTTCAGCTTTCGGCCAGTGGCAGTGTGGAGTCTTAGCCCCGCCTACTGTGGAGGCAGGGCTAATGCTACGTACACACCAGACGCGGAACTTGCGTCAAGCGCGAGTGATTTACATGTTAAGTCAATGCAAACGCGCGAATAGACATCCTGCGGCGCGATAGGCACGAATGGCGCGGCGGGAATGGCGCGATACGCGCGAGGCGAATTGAGCGTTTGCGCGTTTGACGCGCTTAACGAGCGTTTCGCGCCAATCTCTCGAATTCGAAATCTGAACTTTAGCGGACATTCGCGCCGCGTTAACCAATCAGAAGCTTGCTCTTGTGGGGGCGTGATTGTGACGTTGAACCAGTTGATGGTGTTCCGGGGGAAATCCTCCAGGCGACACCGACAACAAGTCAACAAACTGGGCTTGGCTCAGTCAGAAGCATCGCTGAAAGCCTCCGTGATCCAGATTCCGCGTCTGGTGTGAACACAGCATAAGACTTCATTTGATTGGTCAAATTCAAATAAACAACCATTGCATGAAAAAAAGTGATTTAATCACCCGTCTGCAGCACGTATATTGCATATATTATTATCACGATAACGATGATTTTGCAATATGTTGTGCTGCTCTAGTGTATGTACAAGGAATGGCCGATACTGGGGGAAATATATGATATTGATTAGTATTGCGTTAACGATGATTTTTACGATGTAATAAAATCGAACAATACTATTTTATTAGTCATGTTTTTAAATCATTTACTTAAAGATATTAGTGGAGATTTGCTTTAGTCATATCGACCAGGGCCGGAGTGGGACTCCTTTTCATTCCTTGAGTTTCAAGCCTCAGACCGGCCCACCTCAGTTCACGACTGACTATATTAAAATAAGGTCATTTCCAATTCAGTTTCTAATTACACTATCACATCTTTTTTTGAGAAAACAGCTGCTTTATAACTTAATGTTCAACAACCCTAACAGTATTATATGTCCTAACAATAAAAATGAAAAAAAAAAAAAATTACTCAGACGAGGATCAAACCTGGGTCGGTGGTGTCGTAACTTAACGTGCTAACCACTGGACCACAACAGCAGTACAGTGAGAGGTGACTCATCTGAGTTATATCATCATTAACCTGCAGGCTGCGAGAAAATAGATAAAAAGAGCAGAGCTGCGGTAAAATAATGAATAAGAAGGCTGTGGTCAAGTGAATAAATAAATTAATTTTAAAAGTGTGACTGCTGAGAGCAACAGATTCTGGAGCTAGGGACACCGGCCCTCATGGCCAAAAAACGGACCGGCCCACCGGGAATTCTCCCGGTCCTCCCGATTAGCCGATCCGAGCCTGATATCGACTTTAGGTTGTATGATATGCAGTGACACAGTCAGATCTTTTGCTGAACACATCCACCATATTTGATTCTTATATAAGTCCTGGAGCCTCATGTACGAAGACTTGACTTGCAAATGAGAGTCTTATTTTTTTGCATATAATCAACATAAAATAAACAAAAATAACGTATTGGACAAAAAAACTAATCACTAAAAACTTTTTGAAAACAAAACAAAAAATAAAACTTAAATTAAAAATCAAGCAGCGCAAAAAAATCGTAATTTTATATATTTTTTGTAAAATTTTATTCATCAACATTGCCGTTTACTAACATTTTGACTGAGCTCAATTCTTTACTTTTCTTTTGTAAAACTTAATTTTATGTTTGTAAATATAAAAGGTCCTGATTTAACTCTATAGAGTATGTTTGTAGATAATAATTTTGTAAACCGGCTGCTGTAATAACTAAAGCACAGACCAATCATAGGTTTTATTCTTATTGCAATAAGTCCAAATTGGCATCATTTAACCGGTGTATTGCAAACGATAAGATCTGGCCGATCTGTAGGACGTCCTGAAGGCAAACCTGCTGTGTTTCCAGTCTCAAGGTTAGACAGGAGGGTTATTTATGTGTAGCTTTATTCCCTGGAGATTGGATTTATCAAGAGCTTTGCTGCACACTGATGCTTGTTTATGTCAGGCGACGCCGGTCTGGGAGGCTGAAGCCGTGTTTGTGCTGTTGGGAATATTCCATCAGTGCTTTTAATTTATCCCACGGTAAAAAAAGAAAGCTACTCGCAGATGGACTGAGTCCTTATATCCTACACCACACACATATTATTAGCAGTGTTTCCATTCAATGAGAAACAAAAGAGAAGATAATCATCGCTTCCCGATATAAACTGGAGCAAATAATAGTCAGAGAGGTGTAGTTGAGTGTGTTTGGTGAAGCCACTGTGGTCTCTTTTTCTTTAATAAATGAGCTGCGCTTGAAGCTTTTTTTAATGCAGTTTTTTTTCATTTAAGCACTTTTTTAATGTGAGTATTTCAAAATGCACATAAGAAATAGGTAGATGGCAACATGGCTACAGTTAATAATATACACTATTATTTTTAATAATTGTTATTGATTATTATATCATTTTAATTCAATGTTAATTACTGTGAATTATATTATCAAAATAACTTATTAAATATTTTATTATTATTATTGTTGTTATTATTATAATTTTTTATTATTATAATAATAATAATAATTATTATTAATAATGATAATATTACATTTAATATTATTTTGATATTATAATTTATAGTATTATATTATAATGTGCATCGATGGATTACTCTTCATTATTATTATTATTATTATTATTTATTATTATTATTATTACCATTATTATTATTATTATTATTATTATTATTATTATTATTATTTATTTATTATTCTTACCATTATTATTATTATTATTATTATTATTATTATTATTATTATTATTATTATTATTAATAATAATAATGATGATAATAATAATAATAATAGTAATAATAATAATAACAACAATAATGATAATAATAATGATAACAATAATTAATAATTATTAATGGTAACCTTTAATTCAACTTAAGCTGTGGTAATAAATCAAATCGAGAAAGGATTCTGCATTGATTGTTATTTATCTTTTTAGTGTATATTTTAGTATACTTCAAACGCTTGACAATAAGGTTTCATTATTAGTTAGTGTTTACTAACATGAACCATGCATGAGTAATACTTGTACAGCATTTATTAATCATAGTTCGACATTTACTAATGTATTATTAGGTTCCAAATTCTCGCTGTGAACGAATGAACGATGAATGACTTTATTTTCATTAACTAACGTTAACTGACGTGAACAATGCTGTAATGTATTGTTCATTGTTTATGTTAGTAAACACATTAAATAATACAACCTTATTCTGAATTGTGACCATTTAAATTAAAAATATGTATATTAAAAAGTCAGTATTGAGTTTTATTTTTGTTTTAACAGATTTTTTTAAATGCAATTTTATATGAGCGTGTAGAAAGACATTTAGTTGTTCATCTAACTAATTAGAAAAATCTTGTGCATTAAAATAAAGACCATTAAGATTTTTAGCTTGTTGTTGTACTTTATTTAATATGTCTGTGTGTTACCCTGGTGTGATTGCAGAAATTAATATGAATGTTGTGTTTAATATCAGGAATGACGGCACAGAGTTCGGCGGCTCCATCTACCAGAAGGTGAACGATAATCTGGAGACGGCGGTGAATCTGGCCTGGACCGCCGGGAACAGCAACACTCGCTTCGGCATTGCAGCCAAATACCAAATCGACAGCGACGCGGCCTTCTCGGTGCGTGATCATCATCATCATCAAAGTTACTGTAGATACTGTCAGCTTTTATTAGTTTGTCTAATCAACCATCATAATATTATATTAATAGCATAATATCAAGAGTCAAATCAAGAAATCTATTTTTATCACCATTTGTATTTTTTATTCTACCATTATTATTTATTTCCATATTCATGCATACATGGAGTGCTCAGCATGAAGGAGTGCAATAGACAATATATTGTGCTGCATTTATTTATTTATTTATTTATCAGCACACTGAAATGCTCATGAATAAGAGTGAGGTGTGTGTTTGGCTGAGTACTGCACTGTAAGTGGCCAAATGCACCTAGGCTTTTATGCCACACCTGCACCACACAGCACCATCTGCTGGTTAAAAACTGAGCTTAAACTCCATTCAAGAGAGAATCACAATGCATTTTGAAATAAATAAATAACACAAAAATAAATAAGGTGAAGTTTATGTATATAACAGCATTTTTATTTTATTTTTTATTCTTATTTTATTTTAAAGCTGTCAGATTTGTAGAGCAACTGCAAAGGAGAGATATTTCCATAATAGTGTGTTAGACCAGTACAGAAGTCATTACTCACCAAACCTGTTCCTGGAGGGCCGGAGTCCTGCAGATTTGAGCTTTAACCCTAATCAAACACACCTGAACAAGCTAATCAAGCTCTTACGCTGCGGTCACATTAGAGTTTGAGTATGCGAAATTCTGTCATGCAGCGCTGCAAAAAGCGCCGTGATTAAACAAGCTTATTAGACATTTTTAAAACTAAAAGCGAGCGATTGCTGCATGTTTTGATCCTCGATTTGTCTCAGTCTAGTGATGAGATTTCTCAGAGTTCACCAAGCTGGAACTTTGCACCGCAGCAACCTGTGAAACTTGACAAATGACCCTGCGTTTCCTGTCTGACGCATTTGCGTGCGTATGAATGGAAGTCTATGGGAGGAAAAGCCCAGTGTGACAGCAGCTTTACTGGGTATACTTGAAACATCCATGCAGGTGTGTTGAGTCAAGATGGAGCTAAACCCTGCAGGACCAGGATTGCTGACCCCTGGACTAAGTCTTTAGAGATGCATATTTTGCAAATACAGCTACAAATTTTGAGTCACCACAAAATCTGGACCGATGACCCCCCCCAGGACGTATACCACTGCCAGACCACCTCAACATCCCCGAGTTATTACATGATGTGGTTTCAGGCCGCAGCTCTAGATATTGCTTCATCACTGAACGCTCTGGGGAAAGTCATGATTGAAGGGAATCTACTATATTTGTATTCAACATCACTGTTTTTGTCTGTCTTACAGGCCAAAGTGAATAACTCGAGCCTTGTCGGGCTGGGATACACTCAAACTCTGAAGCCTGGTAAGTGTGTGTAGATATTATTAAACAGGGCTCTGCTGAAAAATCCAGCTTAAACCAGCCTAGGATGGTTGACTGGTTTTAGCTGGTCAACCAGCCTGGTTTTAGAGGGGTTTTGGCCACTTCCAGGCTGGTTTCCAGCCATTTCCAGCCTGGTTTTAGCTGGACAAGCTGGGAGATGACCAGCTAAAACCAGCTTGACCAGCCTAGCCAGGCTTGGAGCCCAGCCAAAACCAGCTATGTCCAGCTTAAACCAGGATGGTCAAGCTGGTTTTGATGGTTTTAGCTGGTCACTTTCTAGGCTGGAAATCAGCTTAGTCCCTTTATTCATCAGGGGTCGCCACAGCAGAATGAACCACCAACTTATCCAGAACATATTTCACACAGCGGATGCCCTTCCAGCTGCAACCCAGTACTGGGATACTCTCTCATGCACACACTCATACACCACGGGCAATTCAGTTGATCAATTCCCCTACAGCACTGTGTTTTTTCAGGTCTAATATGATATCTGCAGTATAATACCTGCTGGATTAATTCCCCAACGTCTCTCTTCTGCTTTCAGGTATTAAGCTGACCCTTTCTGCTCTTCTGGATGGCAAGAACATTAACGCCGGAGGCCACAAGATGGGTTTGGGTCTGGAGTTTGAGGCATAAGAAGCTGTGGATTGCTCCGATCCTGACTTCATTTAATATTACACACTTTATTTTCTATCCCCACACCCTCACACACCTTATTTCTCCTGAGCAGGAACACACACGGTATACCTGGAGACATGTATGCATTAGCAGCGGCTCACTTTCCCAGAGAGAAACACTATTAGAGAAGAGCGCTCCCCGGTTTATAAGATGTTTTGTCTTCAACACACTCTGCGTTATTTATTTCAGTGTTCATACTTTACAGATGCTCATTTCTTTGTGGAAGTTTACGTCAGAAAACACTAGATTGACATTCCTGATCTTCAGAAAGAGAGCCTGCAGCTCTTTATGATAGATTCCACACGTTTGGGTGCGTCTCATGTCTCCGTCTGGTGTGTGTGTGCGAGTAATCCACATGTGTGTCGTTGTTTTAGCGCTGCATACTACCTGCTGCGTCCGTGCAGAGCTCCTGAAAACAGAAGTGTGTGTCGGGAAGAGCACGAGTGACGTGCAGTTCTGGATGTAGGCTTGTCTTCCATTGTTACATGTAGGATTAGGAAGCTGTGGATTTAGCAGGATGGAGTCCTTCCTTACGTTGAATAAAACGTTCGACCTGTATCACACCTACTGGACTGTGTGTGTTGTGTTCTGTGGGAAAATCTGCCTTTTTGCATGCAGTAAATTCTGTTTATGAAGATTAATGTTTTTGAAAACTATAGGTATAGACTGATAGAATGTGTAATAAATATATATTAAGTTGAAGTCAAAATTATTCGCCCCCTTTGACTTTTTTTTTCTTTTTTAAATATTTCCCAAATGATGTTAAACAGATGCAGGAAATGTTCACAGTGTGTCTGATAATATTTGTTCTTCTGGAGAAAGTCTGATTTGTTTTATTTCGGCTAGAATAAAAGCAGTTATTGTGTTTTTAAACACCATTTAAAGGTCAATATTATTAGCCCCTTTAAGATATTTTGTTTTGGATAGTCTACAGAACAAATCATCATTATACAATGACTTGCCTAATTACCCTAGTGATGCCTTTAAATGTCACTTTAAGCTGTATAGAAGTGTCTTGAAGAATATCTAGAGTACTATTATTTACAGTCATCATGACAAAGAGAAAATAAATCAGTTATTAGAGATGAGTTATTAACACTATTATGATTAGAAATGTGTTGAAAAAATTTGCTCCGTTAAACAGAAATTGGGGAAAAAAAATAAATGGGTAATAATTCTGACTTCAACTGTGTATGTGTGTGAGAAATAAATAAACACAATAAAAGAATTATAAAAATATATAAATATTAGTAAATATATTTAAAACAAATAAAATAAATATAAAAATAAAAACAAAAAATAAAAAAATATAAATATTAGTAAATATAACGAATGTATATTTAAAACAAAAAATTGAGAAATATAAATAAAATAATAATAAATAAAAATAAATTTAAAATAGATCCAAAAATATGACATAAAAAAAAAAAAATATATATATATATATATATATATATTATATTTTATATATATATATATTATATGTATGTATATATTATTTATATGTATGTATTGTTTTTTTATTTGAATATTTTAATTTTCTAATTTTTTGATATTTTATTTAATAATTTATTATATTATATTATATTTTATATACAATATATATATATATATATATATATATATATATATATATATATATATATATTTTTTTTTTTAATTATGTTATATTTTTGGATCTATTTTAAATGTATTTTTATTTATTCTTATTTTATTTATTTTTATTTTCATATAATTTTTTTGTTTTAAATATACATTAGTTATATTTACTAATATTTATATTCTTTTATATTTTTTATTGTTTTTTATTTTTATATTTATTTTATTTGTTTTAAATATTGCATATATTTACTAATATTTATATATTTTTATAATTTTTTTATTGTTTTTATTTATTTCTATTAGTTTATTTTAATTTGATTTTAGATATTTTAATTATTTTTTACATTTTATTTTTAATTTATTTTCATAAATTAGGTACTTTAGTAAAAACTGATTCACTTTCAGACAAATCTAATATTGGTTAATTGGATATAGCACTATATACTGGATTAGCTACTTCAATTTAATTTAGTTTTATTGCACATGGATTTTATTTATTTAACATCGAACTGTCCAACATTTCAGGAGAAAAACAAGATTAAATAACTAAAATATGACAATCTTCAAAGTTGATTTTTTGGCTGATATTAATAACTTCTATATGACACAATAGAGCGTAGTTACGTAATCAACCTAACAGGTAAAGCCAGTTCTGTTGCTATGTGCGGATTATAAACTTTGCTGCTGCAGAAAAACATCGGCTCATTGTGTTTGCAAGCATTTGATGTTTTTTTTCTGAGGAAAATTTAAATTATTCAAAAGACCTGCAGAACATTTCCTCCATATATCCAATAAACCCTGTTTCAGTATTGGCTGATAATTGTTGACACAGGGCACGTCTAAATAAATACAGCTGCTCTAATTAATGCTGCTTACATTGACCTTAATGCAGTTTTCTAGAAACTGATCAATATGAAAAGGAACGTTTTGTGCTAATGAGATCCAATGACACTATATCAAACTTTGCCTGCATAATCTAATTTACATAGTTTGTTTAAAGACGAATTTTTAAAAAGAGGAAAAGTCAACGGCAACAAAAAAGGAAAGATTTAGTTGCAATTTTGTTGGTTGTAATTTATTTTTGCAATATTTTGCTTGATTTTAATTGTATTATCTTTCAATTTATTAATATGTTTATTAATATTAATAATATTATTTTAATAAATATATCTGTTTAATAAATCTCTTTTGTTCAAATGCACCAAATATATCGCCTATATTCTCTGAGAAACAGATAAAAATATTCATTTTCCAAAATGGGGTGTACTCAATTATGCTAAGCACTTATGACGGAAAATCGAGCACTTGGCAACCCCAAAGCGCGGTGGCTGTACTGCGCATGCGGCTCGGTGACGTCAGCAGAAGATGGCTGCGGTGCGACAGACGCCACTGGAGGACTCAACGATGGTGAAAGTTTTAGTTTTAGTGTCAATGCTGGTGTTTTCCGTGAGCTGCGCTTCACTTCCAATCGCAGGTTAGTGGAGGATTTACCGCTCAACACCTGTAGTGTGTGTTCCCGAGGCCTGTGCTGTTGATGTACTCAAAAACAGCTTTCACTTTCTGTGACAAAGAGAAACTGAATAAACCCCGCGCTCGTCAAAATGTCTCTTTCATCAGAAGTTTGTGCAGTAAAATATGACATGTTTTTAATGAAGTGATATATTTACATATGGTAAAATTAGCCATGAATTAGCTTCTTTGACTCCAATAGCGGAAGTCTTTGCTTTTCGTGACGTGGACACTTCCGGGAGTGACAATGTCAACAATGATCAGACCAGGAAGACATTGAGGTGAAGTTGGCTTTATATTCACACATTCGTTCATTTAACGGTCTCTATATTGTTTACCACCCTAATTTGAATATTCGGTCAGAATTAGCATGCAAGTATGACTTTAAAACAACATTAGCACTATCTAAATGACTGTAAACATGGTTTTACTTTGATAATCATCGACTGCTAATATGATTTCCCTATTTAGAATTGGGAAAGAATACTTTTCTCAAATCATATTATTAAGGAGAATGTCTGAATATCCAAAACCAACTTTACCTCTATAAGAATGACTTCAAAACAACATCAGCACTATCACATTGACTGAATTGATTGAACTTTGATAGTCATTGGCTGCAAATATGATTTCACTATTTAGAGTTTGTAAAGAACACTTTAATGACATTACATTAAGAAGGTGAAAGTCTGAATGTGTGAATATTAAAGCAAGTCTGCCCATGTATTTCAGTGTTTCATGACTCTTGCATTGCTTGTCTTCATGCATAGATGGTGAACCCCCAGCCACTGTGGACAGTAAAGAGGTGAAAGCTCCAGATACACAGAACAGCAGTGATCTGAGTAGCCCGATCGACAGTACTTTGAGTCAGTCGGCAGAGGTGTTGGGTGATGATTCAGCTCCTGCTGTTGAGGGTAAAAACAGCAACAAATCAGTAGATGTTCCCACTGCTCCAATTGCTAATAAAGATACAGAACCACAAGATAATGATCCGAAGAAGCAGAAAAACAACACAGAGAATCTCAAAAGCGACACGGGGAAACAAAAAAATGATTTAAAGCTGGAAACTGACCCCAAGCAGCCGAAAACCGACCTCAATCAGCTGGAAACCGAGCCCAAGCAGCTGGAAACCGAGCTCAAGCAGCCAGAAACCGAGCCCAAGCAGTTGGAAACCGAGTCCAAGCAGCCGAAAACCGAGCCCAAGCAGTCGGAAACCGAGCCCAAGCAGTCGGAAACTGAGCCCAAGCAGTCGGAAACTGAGCCCAAGCAGTCGGAAACCGAGCCCAAGCAGTCGGAAACCGAGCCCAAGCAGTCGGAAACTGAGCCCAAGCAGTCGGAAACCGAGCCCAAGCAGTCGGAAACCGAGCCCAAGCAGTCGGAAACCGAGCCCAAGCAGTCGGAAACCGAGCCCAAGCAGTCGGAAACCGAGCCCAAGCAGTCGGAAACCGAGCCCAAGCAGTCGGATACCGAGCCCAAGCAGTCGGAAACCGAGCCCAAGCAGTCGGAAACCGAGCCCAAGCAGTCGGAAACCGAGCCCAAGCAGTCGGAAACCGAGCCCAAGCAGTCGGAAACCGAGCCCAAGCAGTCGGAAACCGAGCCCAAGCAGTCGGAAACCGAGCCCAAGCAGTCGGAAACCGAGCCCAAGCAGTCGGAAACCGAGCCCAAGCAACAGTTGGAAACCGAGCCCAAGCAACAGTTGGAAACCGAGTCCAAGCAGCCGGTAACCGAGAACAAGCAGCTGGAAACCGAGAACAAGCAGCAGAATAATGACCCTGTGCAGAAGGGTGACGACTCTGTGCAGCCAAAAAATGACCACAAGCAGCAGGATAATGACCCAGAGCACCTGAAACCCTCCCCTGCAGCACCGCAGCCACAGAACTTTACAGAGTACATCGCTGAAAGCACGTTTTTAGGACCAGATCTGGGCTTTGGTGATGACACAGGCAACGACGAAGATGATGATGGCGACGATGATGATGATGAAGTTGTTGATGAGAATGATGTAAGCAATGATGTTGAAGTTAAGGGTGGAAGCTCGTGGGATGACATCAGCTCTCCTGAGGATAGCCAAGGAAAAAAAAATTACCCTCAGGGTTACAAAACTCCTCCTGAGAGCTCAGAGATAAACATCTACAGCACCCAGGATGAAGACTCGCACTTCTTCTTCCATCTGGTTATCATCGCCTTCCTGGTGGCCATCATCTACATTACCTACCACAACAAGAGAAAGGTACGCTTCTCCTGACCAATGCATATCCAGAAATGGTTTTGTCCATGCTTAATTTAAGGTATAATTCTTACTAATAACCCTTTAAAGGGCTCCTATTTGGCAGAAGTTTACAGGACATGCGACATGAACATTCAAAGATGCCTTTTCAAGAAATCTGTGTTTTTAAAACTAATGAAGACAAGCAGAATCCAATGATTTATTTGACAAAATATTTGAAATGTTTCTTAAAATAAAATTCCTTGTGTTCAATGGGGAAAAAGTACATTTAATCCAGACATTTAAAAAGAAGATATTTTAGAGAATCACAATACCGTGAAACTGCGATGATTTTAGCCAAGGTTATCATACCATCAGTATATTATACCAGTCCATGCCTAAATGAATGCAACAACAAATGCAATAATGAATGCAATAGTGAATGTAACAATCAATACAACAATGTATGCAATAATGAATACAACAACGAATGAAATAACGAATGCAACAACGAATGCAATAATGAATGCAACAACGAATGCAATAATAAACGCAATAACGAATGCAACAACGAATGCAATAATAAATGCAATAATGAATGTAATAACGAATGCGATAATAAACGCAATAATGAATGCAATAACGAATGCAACAACGAATGCAATAATAAACGCAATAATGAATGCAATAACGAATGCAACAACGAATGCAATAATGAATGCAACAACGAATGCAATAATAAACGCAATAATGAATGCAATAATAAACGCAATAACGAACGCAATAATAAACGCAATAATGAATGCAATAATAAACGCAATAATGAATGCAATAACGAATGCAACATTGAATGCAATAATGAATGCAACAACGAATGCAATAATAAATGCAATAATGAATGTAATAACGAATGCGATAATAAACGCAATAATGAATGCAATAACGAATGCAACAACGAATGCAATAATAAACACAATAATGAATGCAATAACGAATGCAACAACGAATGCAATAATGAATGCAACAACGAATGCAATAATAAACGCAATAATGAATGCAATAATAAACGCAATAACGAACGCAATAATAAACGCAATAATGAATGCAATAATAAACGCAATAATGAATGCAATAATAAACGCAATAATGAATGCAATAACGAATGCAACATTGAATGCAATAATGAATGCAACAACGAATGCAATAATAAACGCAATAACGAATGCAATAATAAACGCAATAATGAATGCAATAACGAATGCAACATTGAATGCAATAATGAATGCAACAACGAATGCAATAATAAACGCAATAACGAATGCGATAATAAACGCAATAATTAATGCAATAACGAATGCAACAACGAATGCAATAATAAACGCAATAATGAACGCAATAATGAACGCAATAATGAATGCAACAATGAATGCAATAATGAATGCAACAACGAATGCAATAATAAACACAATAATGAATGCAATAATAAAAACAATAATGAATGCAATAATAAACGCAATAATGAATGCAATAACGAATGCAACAACAAATGCAATAATAAACACAATAATGAATGCAATAATAAACGCAATAATGAATGCATCAGCGAATTAAATAATGAATGCAACAATGAATGCAATAATAAACGCAATAATGAATGCAACAACGAATGCAATAATAAACGCAATAATGAATGCAATAATAAACGCAATAATGAATGCAATAATAAACGCAATAACGAATGCAATAATAAACGCAATAATGAATGCAATAATAAACGCAATAATGAATGCAATAACGAATGCAACATTGAATGCAATAATGAATGCAACAACGAATGCAATAATAAACGCAAAAATGAATGCAATAATAAACGCAATAATGAATGCAATAACGAATGCAACATTGAATGCAATAATGAATGCAACAACGAATGCAATAATAAACGCAATAACGAATGCGATAATAAACGCAATAATTAATGCAATAACGAATGCAACAACGAATGCAATAATAAACGCAATAATGAACGCAATAATGAACGCAATAATGAATGCAACAATGAATGCAATAATGAATGCAACAACGAATGCAATAATAAACACAATAATGAATGCAATAATAAAAACAATAATGAATGCAATAATAAACGCAATAATGAATGCAATAACGAATGCAACAACAAATGCAATAATAAACACAATAATGAATGCAATAATAAACGCAATAATGAATGCATCAGCGAATTAAATAATGAATGCAACAATGAATGCAATAATAAACGCAATAATGAATGCAACAACGAATGCAATAATAAACGCAATAATGAATGCAACAGCGAATGAAATAATGAATGCAACAATGAATGCAATAATAAACGCAATAATGAATGCAACAACGAATGCAATAATGAATGCAACAACAAATGCAATATTAAACGCAATAATTAATGGAATAATAAACGCAATAATGAATGCAATAATAAACACAATGAATGCAACAACGAATGCAATAATAAACGCAACAATAAATGCAACAATGAATGCAACAATGTATGAAATAGTGAACACAACAATGAATGCAACAATGATTGCAACAATAAATGCAATAATAAACGCAACAATGAATGAAATGGTGAACGCAACAATGAATGCAACAATGATCGCAACAATGAATGCTACAATGATAGCAACAGTGAACACAACAGTGAATGAATGGTGAACACAACAGTGAATTCAAAAATGAATGCAACAATAATTGCAATAATGATTGCTACAGTGAATGCAACAGTGAACGCAACAATAAATTAAATAGTGAACACAACTGTGAATGCAACAATGAGCGCAACAATAATTGCAATAATGAAAGTAATAATAAACGCAACAATCAATACAACCATGAATGCAATGATGAATGCTTCTCCTCTTGTTGTCTTCTTTAGCTTATGTTGTTGGCCCAGAGCCGGCGCTGGAGGGATGGGTTCTGCTCACGGGGTGTGGAGTATCACCGGCTCGACCAGAACGTCCACGAGGCCATGCCTTCGCTCAAGATGACCAACGACTACATCTTCTGAGCTGCACACCGTGTCTTATTTAATCAGGGGAGAATGTGAGGTAACACTTTACCTGAACGGGTGTTCATAAGACTACCATTAAAGGTTTATAATCACGACACGACTCGTGGATATGGAGAAGAGGTTATGACAATTGTTATTCATTCAGTTATGTCATTTTCAAGGCAAATATGATGTTGATTGAGATGTCTTTATGGCAACCTGACATATCAAAATACATCATGACAACTTGACATAAACATTCATAATGATCTGTTTTTATCAAGACAACATCGTTAACATCGTCATGAGGCCATTATAATTGTCTTATGCATATTTTCCTGACCACTTTTCCCAGTGGAACAAATTTAATTTGTCAAGAAAATTTCCCTGTAAAAGTGTTAATATGCCGGAGAATTATTTTATTAAAGCATCATTAATATTTAATGACATCTAATGATATTTTCTTTATTTCGTTGCACTGTAGGTGGGGTCAAGTAAAAATGTTAATGATGCTGTTGTAAAATTCATGACATAACTATAATGACCTCATGGCCATCATGTTTATGACAGATTTATAACAAGTTGTCATGGCAGTCAAGTTGTCATAACAAAGACATCTCAAACCATGTCATCTCTGCATTTAAAATGACAACTAAGCTAGTGAGGCTTAATAGCAGCATGAAATTCATGATGCGTCATGTCGTGATTATAAAGGTGTCATGACTGTGTTATGAACGCCTCCTTCAAGTGAAGTGTGATCGATTGTGCTCGAGTCTGAGCAGAACTGCATTTTTACGACTTTGAAGAAAAGCAAATGAAGAAAGGTTTGTTCTGTAAATATTTAATTATAAACCTGGTGTCTGTCACAAATTTACTCATGATTTATTTGGTTTGTGTGTGGACGCTCTCCTCCTATGAGCCCATGTGTGTGTATATATGTACAGCTGAAGTCTAATCTCTAATAACTGATTTCATTTCTCTTCTCCATGATGACAGTAAATAATATTAGACTAGATATTCTTCAAGACACTAGTGTTCAGCTTAAAGTGACATGTAAAGGCTTCACTAGGGTAATTAGGGTAAAGTTAGGGTAATTGGGCAAGTCATTGTATAACAGTGGTTTGTTCTGGAGACAATCCAACACTAATATTGCTGAAGGGGCCAATAATATTGACCTTAAAATGGCTTTAAAACAATTAAGAACTGCTTTTATTCTAGCCGAAATAAAACAAATAAGATATTATAGGAAATACAAAAAAAAAAATCCCGAATCTGTTTAACATCATTTGGGAAATATTTGGACAAGAAAGAAAAAAAAAATCACACTCATTTTGACTTTGATTGTATGTCTGTATGTGTCTCTGTCTGTCTGTCTCTGTGTTTGTGTCTGTCTGTGTGTGTGTGTGAGCTTCAGGCTGATCCCCTTCACATTTGCGTTATGACTTCAGTGAAGTTGTTTTATCTGTTATACACACACAGTGTCTGGAGGAGCGGGATCTGCCGTGCCAAAAACTCTGTGGAAAAACAGCTGCTGTGTCCAAAATCGCCCTCATACACTCATTCACTACCCCCTACAGTAGTCCACTAATATAGTATGCACTTGAAGGAGTGAATGAAATGAGTGCATTGGAACACTGCTGAGTGCACTGAAGGGATGCCATTAGGGTTAAAATCTAATTCATCTGAGTTATTTATTAACTAGCAAAACCCAAACTTTAAACTTCTCAATCAGACACTCTGATAGTTATTAAACACTCAGTGAGCTGCTTATTAGTAATGAAACAGACTTTCATTCATTTTCTTGTCGACTTAGTCCCTTTATTAATCCGGGGTCGCCACAGTGGAATGAACCGCCAACTTATCCAGCAAGTTTTTACGCAGCGGATGCCCTTCCAGCCGCAACCCATCTCTAGAAAAGACTTTAATTCAATAATAATATATTTTGAACCATACACTTGGCAGCATGGTGGCTTAGTGGGTAGCACAATCGCCTCACAGCAAGAAAGTTTCTGGTTCGAGCCTCGGCTGGGTCAGTTGGTGTTTCAGTGTGGAGTTTGCATGTTCTCCCCGTGTTGAAGTGGGTTTCCTCCGGTCGCTCAGATTTCCCCCACAGTCCAAACACATGCGCTATAGGGGAACTGATGAAGTAAATTGGCCTTAGTGTATGGGTGTTTCCCGTTGTTTGGTTGCAGCTAGAAGGGCATGTGCTGCATAAAACATATGCTGGAGAAGTTGGTGGTTCATTCCGCTGTGGCGACCACAGATTGATAAAGAAACTAAGCTGAAAAGGAAACGAATGGATGATTGAAACTTTACACTGATAGGATTGTGCTTTAGACGCCATCTAGTAGTCAGGAAATTCATTCAGCGCACGAACTCGTATGTTGAGTGTTTATGGCGTGTGCACATGTTATTGCAGTGCATTGTGGGATTGATTGAGAGCATTTCATAATGTTCACTATGATTTCTGACTCCTCTAAAAATGGCTGCTCCCTCAAGTAGTGCACTATTAAGGGTGTAGGGCAGGGGTCACCGATCTCGTTCCCTGCAGGGTTTAGCTCCAACTTACCTCAACACACCTGCCTGGATGTTTCAAGTCTACCTTGATTAGCTCATTCAGGTGTGTTTGATTAGGGTTGGAGCTAAAATCTGCAGGACACCGGCCCTCCAGGAACAAGTAGGGTGATTTGGGACACAGCCAGCATCTCTTCTTGTTTTCTCTTTTAGCTGCTTTGTGTGAGAACAGGACTGTGTCCTGAATCTGTGTGTGTCAGCTACACAACCGGGGAACACTTTATAGTAAGGGTGTATTAGTTACTGTGTTTACTAACATGAGCATAAGCCAGTGGGAGGCTGTTTAAATGTTACGTATAGCATTATGTTATTTAGATTGGAAACGACACAAATCCTCCGTTTGCAGTGTAATAATGATGACCACCGAATAACTCAGTCATTACAGTATTCATCTCTGTTGATCTGTCATTGTTCATGTTAACTCACTAATGCATTAACTAATGTTAACAAGCACAACTTTCATTAATGCTTTAGTAAATGTGGAACAACTGTAAGAATATCCCAGCAGTTTCTGTATTTTGTGATTCATGTTGTTGTGTTTTGTTTATTTATTCATATCTGATCTGCATTATGGGATTTTGATCTTCCTTCCAACAACTTTTAACCTTGAAAAGCTCTAAAAAGTGACCGTCTGCTCCTGTGTAATAGTGTCAGTGCTGTATTGTCGGGGTTAGTGTTGTATATTACGCTACAGCACAGATGCTCAAAGTAGTGCGCGCGGGCCAAAGCTGACGAAACGAGTGACGGAGAGCGTTGAGGTGAATGCCTTCAACAGTGATTCTCATTTCTAGCTTGACGTAACCTTGTCAGCCTTTATTGCTGAGCTACAAAAAAGCAAACTGAAAGTAAATGCAGACGAATCCCAGATTTTAAAATGACTAATACTAATAAGACTAGGAGACATCAGCCTCAAGTCAAAGCAAACTCTAGTGTAACTCCATTCTTTTATAAATTAGATGGTCACACTTTACAATAAGATTCATCAGTTAATGTTATTTAATGCATTTACTAACATGAACAAACAATGAACAATACATTTACTACAGTATTTGTTCATGCTAGTTAATGAAAATACAGTAGTTCATTGTTAGTTCATGTTAACTCATGGTGCATTAACTAATGTTAACAAGCTTGAACTTGGATGTTAATAATGCATTAGTAAATGCTGTACATGTGTTGTTCATGATTAGTTCATGTTAGTAAATGCATTAACTAATGAACCTTATTGTATTCCATTTAGATTTTGTGGTAACACTATAAAAGCTGCACACTATGAACTATTTACTAAGCATTAGTATCTCGTGAATTCATTATCTGCTTATCTGTAAACTCAAACTTGCCTCTATACACCTGCAAGGATGTTTCTGGAAAGCTTAGTAAGAGCTTGATTATAGACCAGGTGTGTCTGATTGGGGTAGGAACTAAACTTTGCAGGACACCGGCCCTCCAGGACTGAGTTTGGACACCCCTGATGTAGACAGTGTATGATTAATGACCGCTGCGCTATTGTTCATTGATTATCAGTTCAGGAACAATAATTAATGGAATCTTATTGTAAAGTGAGAACTGATATCGTAAATGAGCCTCGTTATCTCTGATTTACGTGACGATCATTAGTGTCTGTGCATGAACGCCACATATTTAGTCCTGCTGTGATTGTTCAATAAAGTGGAGGGTCTGACATTGTGACTTTCAGTGCTTTATTAACCCTCTACTGCACGGCGTAACCATATGGTAACATGATACTCATGTTCATTTCCCTGACACTGTTTCTTTAAGACTAACATATTATTTTTTTGTTGGAAAGAGAAGACCTTAGAGTAGCCAATGATGTGCTTTGGTCAAGTCACATGACATCCAGTGTTTTTCTGTAGCACGATTTCTGACAGACTGGCGTTTTTTGTGAGTAGTTGCTAAATGCAAGTGTAAACGACAATAAAAACAAAGGATCAATTTATTTTAGATCCACAAAAAAACTCTGAAACATCACCTCCAGTAAGTTATGATGACATATTCTCAACTTAAATTATTTAAAATCAAACCAGTTTTTTGCAAATCGGTCAAATGTGTGTGTTACCAAATGGCAACACTGTGCAATAGTGGAACATGCAATATTGCAACGGGTTAGCTAGCTAGCAAGGTCAGCTGTGAACTTTTAAGTTGTAACAATAACAACATGAATGCTAGTTATAAAATGTTGATTAGTCACGTGTTAATGACATTTGCATTATGGATAAAAGCTAGTTAATGGGGTTTGCCATAGGCAAAGTCCATTCTTACTATTGTGGTTTATTATTCTTCTTCTTCCTTCTTCTTCTTCTTCTTCCGTACACTTTTTCGGCGCGTAACTAGTCCCGCAGCTTTCGTCCCAGACCCTTGAAAGTGGGCTCAAATCGTGCGGCTTTATCGGGAATGGTGTGCTATGACTTTTATAAGGGGTGGGTGGTTTTGGGGCCCCGCAGGGGCCCCAAAACCACCCCCCAAAACGCATTGACTCAACATTACGCCCAACTTTGACGACTCACAGCGCCGCGTGTGATTTTCATAGAAATATGGGATTCACAGCATCTGTAGAGGGTTGCAGCCTAAGTGAGAACATACCTCGCAAGGGGGTAAAAGTTGCACCCCTGGGGCTCTAGGACGTCCCAAAGTGCTCCCATTGACTTACATTGGCCCCATTGACTCCCATTCATTTTTCTAGAACAGCACTAACGCCCCCGCGAAATGGGACGACCTTTAAAGCGTTATAGCGCCAAGTGTGAAATTCGTAGAAATATGGGATTCGCAACATCTGTAGGGGGTTGCAGCCTGTATGAGAACATACCCCAAAAAGGGGTATAAGTTGTACCCCTGGGGTGCTAGGACGTCCCAAAGGGGTCCCCATTGACTTTACATGGCCCATTGACTCCCATTCATTTCTTGACTCACATGTCAATCACATTACATAGCAGTGTCATACAGACTTGAGGGTTGTCTTACTTGGCTGAGGCAACCAATCAGCATCTCAATATGATTTTGAAGCTCACAAGCCACGCCCCCCCAAACCATTTAAAGACCCTTAATAACTGCCCCATTGACTTAACATGGGGTGGGATGTCCCATTGCACATCCCATTGACTTCCATTATAAAGGTCACACATCTATAACATTACATAGGAGTGTCATAGAGACATGGGGGTGGGCTCATTTGACTCAGGCAACCAATCAGCATCACTATATGATAATGAAGCTCACAAGCCACGCCCCCAAATTGATCCCATAGACTTCTATTATAATTGGGCTAGATGCATATCTTTGCATTGCAGTGTCATATAGGCTTAGGGGTTGGCTCATTGGACCCAGACAACCAATGAGCATCTCAATATGGTAATGAAGCTCACAAGCCACGCCCCCAAACTGGTCCCATAGACTGCCATTATAACTGGCCTACATGCATATCTTTGCTTAGCAGTGTCCTATTGACTTGGGGGATGGCTCATCTGACTCAGACAACCAATGAGCATCTCGATATGATAATGAAGCTCACAAGCCACGCCCCCAAACTGGTCCCATAGACTGCCATTATAACTGGCCTACATGCATATCTTTACATAGCAGTGTCATAGAGACATGGGGGTTGGTTCATTTGACTTAGACAGCCAACCACATTCAAGTTCACTCTGTAACCTCGCCCATAGCAACAAAACAGAGTACCCTAGCAACCATTCATCAACAGCTATATCTCAGCATCGGAACATCGTAGAGACTTGGGGATTGGCTCGTTTGACTCATGCTAGCAAACGGAACTTCCTATATGCTACACATGCTAGCAGTGACTAGCTACATGCTAATATTGACTAGCCATGTACTGTAACTTGCTAGAAACGCTTACTAAGTATAATTATTTCATCAGGCATGTATGTGAGGCTTGCCTAGTAACCATCCAGGGTACCCTAGCAACTGC